CACTATTTATTCCCTCATCTATGTCGTTTATATAAATTGTGAACAACAACGGGCCCAACACTGACCCCTGAGGAACACCGCTTGTGGCATGCCCCCATTCTAATTTCTCCCCATTTATGCAAACTCTGCTGCCTATTTGTCAACCATGCCTCTACCCAGGAAAAAAATTCTCCTATTCCGTGCGCCTTAAGTTTCCTCAATAGCCTCTGATGTGGAACTCTATCGAAATCCATACTGAAGTCCATATACACAATATCATATTCAATACCATGATCTACCGCCTCAAATACCTTAATGAAAAAAGTTAGTAAATTCGTAAGACAGGAACGCCCCTTTGTAAAACTGTGTTGAGATTCATTAATCAATTTATATCTTTCAAGATGTCTACGAACTGCCTCGGCAATTACTGATTCCATAAATTTTCCCACTATGGAGGTAAGGCTTTTAGTTCGAAGCTAAGGACCTGTCACCTGCCTTGTAAATAGGTATTACATTTGCCATTTTCCACTTGTCTGGCACCATGCCAATTTGTAGTAATATATTGAAAAGAGTAACCAAAGATATGCTAAGTTCCTCTTTACATTCCTTTAAAGCCATTGCAAACAGTTCATCAAGACTTGGAGATTTGTTAGGTTTTAATTTCTCTATTTGTCTGAGGACCATGTCACTAGTTACCCAAATCGTGCATAGTTTATTATCGTCCTCTTTTACATAATTTATTATTTCTGGAATTTCACTAGTATCTTCCTGAGTAAAAACTGAGAGGAAGTAAGTGTTGAAAAGTTCACACATTTCCTTATCACTGTCATTGATCTGACCTGAGTTACTCTTAAGTGGGCCGATCTTGTCTCTAATCTTACTTCTGTATACCTGAAAGAACTCTTTTGGGTAAGTCTTAGAATCCCTTGTGACTTTAGCCTTATAATCCCTTTTTGCTTTTCTTATTCCTTTTTTTATATCTCTCTTTAATTGAATATATTGGTTTCTTAACTGCCCATCCCCTCTTCTGATACGCCTATATATGCCTCTCTTTTGACCAACGAGATGTTTTAATCTATTGTGTATCCATTTGGGATCATTTTTGTTAGATCTAATTTCTCTACTCGGAAAAAAGTTGTCTGGGCAGCTAGAACTATGCTCTGAAATACGTCATACTGGCCACCAACACAACCTACCTGACCCATAGTCAGGTCATCCCAATTTAGCCCACCCAGGTAATTTCTCAGTTCCATGAAGTTGGTCAAGTGGAAATCTGGGACAGAGATTTGATTGCAGTTATCTGGGTAATTCCATGATATATTGAAACTAAGTGATTTGTGATCACTTTCTCCAAGCTCATCATCAACCTCAAGATTATTAATTAGTGAGTCTTTGTTAGTAAGAACCAAGTCAAGCAGGTTGTTTCGTCTAGTTGTTTCTGTCACAAACTGTTTTAAAAAGCAATCCTGAACCGTATCAAGATAGTCACTACACTCAAAATTTCCTGTCACATTGTTCCAATCAATTTGTCTAAAGTTAAAATCTCCCACTAACACAACATTTTCATATCTAGATATGTACAGAGTTTTCACTGCACGTACAAGTACCATAAAGCACCTAAATTACTGGGAATGGTTACGTCTTTTGACCTGTACTTCCTGGAGCGCAGGCGAGAAAGATACACGATAATATACACTTAGAAAATCCTAGAGGGACTAGTCCCAAATCTGCACGCGGAAATCACTTTCTACAAAAGCAAAAGACTCGGCAGGCGGGGCAACATTCCCTCAGTGAAAAGCAGGGGCACCATGAGTGCGCTAAGAGGCAGCCCAAGACTGTTCAACTGCCTCCCAGCACACATAAGGGGGATTATCAATAGACCCCTGGCTGTCTTTCAGAGGGAGTTGGACAGACACCTGAAGTCAGTACCTGACCAGCCGGGCTGTGGCTCGTACGTCGGTTTGCGCGCGGCCAGCAGTAACAGCCTGGATGATCAGGCCCTGATCCACCTCGACGCCTAGTCATGGACCAGGCCGCGGGGGCGTTGACCTCTGAATACCCACCAGCAACCTTACTGCCACCGTAGCTATCACCATCACCACCACTACTAACGTCACCACCATCATCACGGCACTTATCCCCACCATTTAGAGTAGACCAACAACAGGAGCATCAGTCTGAGAGTATGATGGTAAGTGACTGGTTCTTTATTCACGTATTTATTCACCTGTGTGTGGTTTATCTGGAGTTTATCTGGAGAGAGTTCCGGGGTCAACGCCCCCGCGGCCCGGTCTGTGACCAGGGGGTCGAGACTCAGCTCCTGGCCCTACCTCTTAACATATTCTTCAAGTTATCGCGGTATAAGACTAGATCCCTGGCACCACACACAGGTGAGTAAACACCTGAGCAGGAACCAGTATCACCAACCCTAGTGATGACATCATACTGATGACCTCAGACTGATGATATACTAATATTTTGCTGGTGATTGATATAATATCATACCGATATCATACTGATGGCATAATACTCTCTGGTTAGTGGTAAGATTCTGTTTAGGCTTTGCGTGCTTATCATTTCCTTTACAAAAGCCTTGAGGGTAGACTTGTTATACACACATGTAAATGGATATCACATTGTTGTTGTTGTTGTGTGTGTGTGTGTGTGTGTGTGGATCACTCTGGACAGTTCTAGGCCAGGTCAAGTGAGGTGAGGCGATAACTAGGGATAACATTTGTTGCTGGTTCCTCTCCTACTGCTGTTGCTGTGTCATACAGCGTCTGAGGAATCTGAGATAAAAAAAGAGGTTTGATGCTGGTAAGACGGACACAGTTCCAGTTACTGTGAACAAGGGCCTTTCAGCAGGAAGGTGCGTCTTGAAGGACCAGTATGACAATGCTCTTGTAGAAGATTTTATCCAGCTTAGTAAGCGCGGAGGGTTATAAACCTAGAATAAACCAAGAAAGCCAGCATGACTTATTTCCATTGGGGAACCTTTGCAGGTCCTTACCAGGATGCGACCCAAAGTAGCGTACTGACTTCAACGGCACCACTGGAGATAAGTTACTTTGGCTTTTTTGGTTATCCTAGCTAACTTACACATATGTTACTATCCAATACAATCACAAGCAGGAGATCTTAATGCAGAACAAGCCGCATGGGGAAAGAAATCCTTAGCTCTAAACCTTTTGCATTCTCGTGTGTCATCAGGAGCTTGCAATGTTGCAAGACAGCAATAGATAGGAGGGGAAATTCTCTGTCATGGGCTGCCATTGATACCTTCTGCCTTGCCTCAGAGAATTTCCCCTCGTATCTGTTGCTATCTTGCAACATTGCATAGCTCCTGACGACGCACGAGAGTGCGAAAGATTTCCCTCCCTACATGGCTTGTTCTGCATGTTACTACTATGTATGATAATTTGTGTATTTATGTGTATCTGTTACTAGGCAACAGGAGCAGCAGATATTAGGTGACTCGCTCATACGTCTCTCCCCTCCCCAAGATTCGACCCAGGGTCTTCCATTGTGAATAATTTAATATCTTTATTATGCACCCCATACCCAACCTGTGTGAGGTAGTCAAAACGATTACCGAGGTACATAAAGGGTAAAACATGTTAATGCTTGAATATTAAAGAGGCGGAACGAACTAATTACATATAATAATTTATTCAAAAAAAGGTTAATGAAGATATATTAAGAGATGTTCCTTTCGATTCCTTCTTTCTGTACATCATTCTTATTCTGTTCTTAGGTATTGTCTGTTCCATTGTGATGCTGTTCCATTTATGTTTTCAGTTCCTCCAGTTTCTGATGCAGCAGTCAAATGCCTGAGTTTCAGTTCAAACTCCAAACGCTGAATTCCAAATTCCAAACTTCCAAAATCCTGAACTTCAAACTCTGAACTTCGAACATCAAACTTCGAACATCAAACTTCGAACTTCAAACTCCGAACTTCAAACATCAAACTTCGAACTCTGATCATCAAACTCCGAACTCACTGCCGTTCCCTCGGTGCTGCATGTTCTTTACAGGTTTAGAGCTCCCCCACTAATTTTCATAATCCTCCGGGTTAATAATTCCAATAAGGTCTTTGTTATATTGTTACACTCACCGGGGGAGCGTTAAATCAGCAGGGGTCATACAGCGCCTGAGGAACCAGGAGGCACTCAGTTTAGATCCAAGGATGAGGAGGTGACATCCGAGTATTTGGATCAAGAGCCTGGGACAACCAGCCTCCCCGGAGGTTGCGTTTTTATATAAAATGGTATTAACTGCAATTATTATTATTATTATAATCAAAAAGAAGCGCTAAGCCACAAGGACTATACAGATTAACTGCAATTGAAATGAATCATATATAATTTTAACAACAAGAATTAACGAATATTTAATATCTGGATGCCACAATATATGTCAACTCACAGTACGTGAACATAAGAACAAAATATGAGTGTAACATTCTAATATCTAGTACAAGAATACTATTCATAAGTAGCGCTAAACCCACGAGTCACTTAGTGCTTATAACAGTCTAGAAAATAAGAAAAAATGCAATTCATAGCGAATCCATAAACGCTTCCTCAGTGGGGGGTTTAACATCGCCATAGAGGACTAACTTTAACAATAATAGTAGCAAATGTAGCAGCCACCGGAGAACAAATGATGAAAGCCTATATCAAGACGCATCTCTTTGTTTTAGAAGCATTCCTGGCTTAACAATGATAAGAAGAATGCAAGAGGAAGCAGCACTTATGAATGGCTGGCACAGGTGAGGCCAGCCGGGAGTGACTCACCTCAACCCATATGACGTCATGTCGGAGATATCCCTTAATATGAATAGCATAAGTAAAACGCAGTATTTATAACAATGATATTTATTGTTAATTTATTTCTCAGTACCTGAGCTAAATTGAGATACATTTGTGTCATCAAACTCTTGTCACAATACTCGATATGTTCAAGAGTATATTTTGTTATGTTGTGAACATTGGGTATTCAGCAAACAATAGATTTTTAAGTTTTCAGCACTAAAATGAATATATAATATCAGATATATAGAATTTCTTAATATTCTTTATCGTAATCTATTGTAACACGTTTCCTTTGTTTCTTTTCTATCATTTTACAAAAGATTCAGTCGTCTATTGGAACTGTTGTATATCTGACATTATTGGAACGAAGTTTTGGTCATGACAACATGGCGCTCAATGGGGAAAGGTCAGCCCTCTCTGGGCTTTCCGACCTCAGAAAAGAAAAAGCAGAGGAAAAAGAGAACCTCTGGTAAGTTACTTAACCGTTGGAAATGTTCTATGGGCACAAATTGGAGTGCCATGCTTATCCTAGAGGAGTTTGTCAGGTATGAACAAAGGTAGTGGGAGCGGTCGTGTTGACATGACATTCCAGCCGTTTAGAACACCTGAATTCTTTGCTTACGAATTTTTCTCTTGGTAAATCATTTCAGAGCTGTAATAGACGGGAATACAAACTTGATGTGAAAACATTAAGTGTTAAAACAAGTATTGGGAGTAGGGCGTGTGTGGGAGTGGGTGTGATCTAGGCTGCCGGGTGCCATCTACTTAACGCTGATTGTCACTTAATTTTTCCCACTTAAACATAAGCATTACTTAAGTACAACTTTGCAAGGCACTTCCAAGCTTTCTAACATATTTATATTGACTTATACAGCACGGGTATGGATACCATAATTTGCAAGGTTACTTCACTGTCATGTGCTAGGATTTTGCTCTTAATAAGCCTTCACCCTTTAAATAAGAGAATTAAACTTGGTACCTATTCTAACTTTAACTCATATTAACCAAACTACACACTGTCTAAAACAGCTTACCTCCATTGTGTGTTAAGTATCATTGGTGGAGTAACAATGTTGCTGTGAGAGTAAAGTTTGTCTTAAAATTAGCCAACAGGTGCTTGATCCAAGGACCTTGATATATCCTCTCTGTTGATCAAACTTGATTGCTTCCCATTCCCCAGTTCTGTTCCATCCTTACTTTTTAGAGTTTTTCCTGGACTAAAAATAAGCAGACAATCGATTGAACTTCCATGACTTATGGAATGACTTGCTTGGGTTTTATGTTGAATATTAATACATAAATTCCTTTGGTGGTGCAAAGTTGCTCTTGTACTATATGTAGTACTATACGTACATTGTTGTTAACTGATGTCGAGGCATGTGTATTTACCACACCTCATGTTTCCTTAAGCATTTAAATAAGATTTTCATTTGTATTGTAAACTGAACTTGAAGGAAGATTAATCTACTTCTGTCTGAGGTATTGTATAATATTCCCTACATTTTAACATACTTTTGTTATGTAAGTTGAATAGGTAGACGGGTTAGTCTTTGTTGGAGCAAGCACACAATTTAAAGAATTCAGACAGGCTTGTGAGAACTGTGTTTTGGTACACGACATGTGTATTTTTTATTTATTGTGGAAAGGTATTAAAGTTAGAGTATCTCAGTAAAGGAGAATGTTTTCATTGTTTCCAGGGACTGGTGTCTAAGCTCTATCCTCCATCAGAAGGTGAGGATAGTTTTCTTTTTCTATATGTTAGAGGGGAGATGGGCAGTTTAGGAAAAAGATGAACTGTAGGTTTGTTTGCTTAAGCTTAGGAGGCAAACTCAGATTACAAAGACAAATTAGTCAGTTTGTTGTCAGTATCTTTGGGTCAAAACCTGTGTCATTATGTTTCTAATTGCTTTCTGTATCTCACTTCTGATTTTCTTGGGTGTATGTATCATCCCTCTACCATGGAGATCTGAATGATCTCCACATGTTTAATGAGTACAGTACAGTGGTACCTCGAGTTACAAGCTTAATTCGTTCCAGAAGGCTGTTTGAGTGCTGATACCAAATGAATTAGTTCCCATGAGGAATAATGTAAATTAGATTAGTCTGTTTCAGACCCCCAAAAATACACTTACAAAAGCACTTACAAAAATACACTTACATAATTGTTCGTGTTGGGAGCTGTTCGAAACTCGAGGTACCATTCTGTAGCCAAATTTGAATGAAATAACACCAAAGCTGTGTTAATTCATTTACAAATCTTTGTTATAAAATAAAAATTTCTTTGGTTTAGAAAAGTACATGTATGTTGTATGAAGCATTAATAAAATACAATAATAATAAATATTGTAAAACATTTAAAATATTGTCTTTAATGCTGTATATTCGAGGCAGCATAAAATAAGTCTGTGGTGTTATTATTGTCTTGTCAAGACAACATTTGAAGTTAGTGGTCTGTATTGTATTTTATTGTTTGGTGTGATAGAGTTCTTGAATCTTTAGTGAGATACCATATATTAAGGTTATCATTGTTATTTTATTATTACAGTGGACCCCCTGTTCACGATATTAATCCGTTCCTGAGAGCTCATCGTAAACCAAAATTATCGGGAAAGCGAATCAATATTCCCCATAAATAACAAAAAAAGGCGCAATACCGTGACTGGAACGATACACAAATAACCCGCACATAAGAGAGAAGCTTACGACGACGTTTCGGTCCGACTTGGACCATTTACAAAGTCCCACAAACCAGAAGTGGGGCAGGACGGCTATATATAGGCAGGAAGAGGTGGTGGTAGTAGTAGTAATACAAGAATGGTATATAATACCGACAAGATGAAATTAAGACACATGCGCAACACCCGGGCATCCCTATCGTAGATGTTTCGCCATCCAGCCAGCCACTGGATGGCGAAACGTCCACAACAGAGACAACCAGACGCCGCACATATTCCGCATAAGAAATAATGGAAATCAAATTAATCCGTGCAAGACACCCAAAAGTATGAAAAAAAAACTTTTGCCACATGATATATTAAGTTTAATGCAATATAATAATTACAATAACAATAATAACAATAGAATAATCCCAATAGAATAATTGACACTTACCTGTAATCAAGATCTGGTGGTGATTGATGGGATGGGAGGAGGGGAGAGTGTCGACGTTTTTAATGTTTAGAGGGGGAATCCCCCTCCATTAGGACTTGAGGTAGCAAATCCTTTTCTGGGGTTACTTCCCTTCTTCTTTTAATGCCACTAGGACCAGCTAGAGAGTCACTGGACTTCTGCCGCACAACGTATCTGTCCATAGAGGCCTGTACCTCTCGTTCTTTATGATTTTTCCCAAAGTGGTTCACAACATTGTCAGTGTACAGGTTGCCAACACGGCTTGCAGTAGCTGTGTCAGGGTGATTTTCATCAAAAAAGGTTTGCACTTCAAGCCACTTTACACACATTTCCTTAATTTCAATAGTCATTAGCACCCTTGGTCTCGATGGGTTGGCACTAGAAGCTTTCTTGGGGCCCATGGTGACTTATTTTGCAGAAACAAGCACCAAAACAGTGATAATATGGATAAAATAGAATGTACCGAATGTATCCTTAGATGCGCGCACACTGGCTGGCTTGTAAACACTGGACACGTCTCGTACGAATCGTATCGCATACCGGGTTTTGTAACGGGAACCGAGGCAAATTCTCTGCGATATAATGCATCGGTTACCGGATTTATCGGATACCGATAGCATCGCGAACCGGGGGTCCACTGTATTATGTAACGTATTTATTTTTTTGAAACACTAAACACTGGTGGGTCTTTGCAAAGAATGGTGGAGGCTCTTATTTCCAGTCCTGTTCTCTACCAGTCAAGCAGTTGGTAATTGCAGCACTTTTTAATATTAATATAATCATCATCATCCTATTCATAATTGTCATAATGAGAGGTTTATTCATTTACAATGTTTTTACCCATTTGGGATATGTACAGTATATAGATTTTTAAATTTAAATAGAGGTAGATTGCAACCTAAGAGTTGATGCTTATGCTTTAGTGTAATGTGACAGAACACTAAAATGCATTATGATAGCATCATTGCAGTTTGCCTTATTCACTTCCCCTTGTCTGACATAGTGAAGGCGTAATTCTCAAAAATACAGAATTAAGTAATGTAATATAATTTTTACAAGTACATGTAGAAGGTATACAGACCGTAGCTGACATCAGTGACATACTACAGTGGACCCCCGGTTAACGATATTTTTTCACTCCAGAAGTATGTTCAGGTGCCAGTACTGACCGAATTTGTTCCCATAAGGAATATTGTGAAATAGATTAGTCCATTTCAGACCCCCAAACATACACGTACAAACGCACTTACATAAATACACTTAAATAATTGGTCGCATTCGGAGGTGATCGTTATGCGGGGGTCCACTGTACTATATAGAAAACAGATTATGCAGAGCATTTTGGGCATATTAGGTCAGTTTTATCCCAGGATGCGACCCACACCAGTCGACTAACTCCCAGGTTCCCATTTTACTGATGGGGAACCTAGACAACCGGTGTAAAGAACACCCAATGTTTCTACCCTCGTTGGGAATCGAACCCAGACCCTCTCTATGTGAAGCGAATGCTTTAGCCACCAGGCCACAGGGCACCTAAGGGTTATTATGTGCCATCTGTAATTGATACTCAAGAATGTTTTCTGGATTTGAAAAATGAATTACAGGGTAGCACTGAGTACAAATATGATTGCATTTTTGATTGTACAATATATGCTGGTGTTGTACATGTCTGTATTAACACTGTATGTTTATATTTTCAGGAAGAAGATCTTAGGGGAGGTACAAAATAGCGAGCGCAATAAACTACCATCTTGTAAATCAGTCCTTGTTCTTGGTAAGCTTCACTGTGGATCACTTTTTTGATTGTTTTTAACCAAACTTGTAGTGAAAATGCTAGATATTGTTAAAACTTTATTAACCCTTTGACTGTTTTGGTCGTATATATACGTCTTACGAGCCACCGCTTTTGACGTATATATACTTGTAAATTCTAGTGGCTTCAAATCAAGCAGGAGAAAGTTGGGAAA